GTTTAAGGCAAAGCTGGTGCTGAGAATCACTAGCCTAAAACCTCCCGTAAGGCTAGGTATAATGACACATCCTAGTGATCCCAGGACTTAGGAGGTTGAGGCAGGAAGATCACTGTGAGTTTGAGGCCAGGCTGGACTATGTAGCAATACATTGTGTTAATCAACCAGTCAATTGATATCTTTTCCACAAACCTACAGATCAGCAGTGTGCTTGACTCTAAACCACTATTATCTTTTTTTTTTTTTTTTTAGAACACTATCATCTTGAGTAATTCTGTTAACTTATTGAAGAACTTTGCCAGTTTGGTTCTCACTATATCTTTACAACTGACAAGGTAGGAAGTTCAGGTACTATTACTAGTACTGGGCAGATGAGAAAGTAAGGCATAAAAAGATTCAGTCAGGTTAAGCGTGATGGTGTGCACCTGTAATTTCAGCATCCTGGGAGGCTGAAGCAGGAGGATTACAAATGCTAGCCTAACCTGAGATATTTAGGGACTCAGTGAGACCTTGTTTCAAAAATAAAAACAACAATAACAAAAATATTTGATGAGCTGCCCAAGGGTAACAAGCTAGTTATTCACAAAGACATCACAACCTCATTGGTCTGTGTGTCCATCCATCTGTCTGTCTCTCTCCTCATGCTGGGGATGAAACCCATGGTCCCATACCTTCTAGGCAAACTCTCTGCCACTGAATGCATCCACAGTCCTCAAACAGTCTTTTTGACTACAAGCCCAGTGTGAGTTCCCCCAAACCATGTTGCCAAGTTGTCTCTTCTAACCATGATCCATTTTACTACTGGAAAACTAATGAATATGAGATCTAATTCCAAAACTAAGCATAATGATGGCTTTAAAAGACTTACTTGGAGTCAGTGGACCAAGATATCTTTTTTTTGAAGGCCACCAGGCAATGGTGAATGTACCTACTCCTCACATACCTCTCCCACCCCCACACCATCATTGAGAACACTTCCTCCCAGAAATGGAAAATGTTAGTTTCCATTAGGATATCTACTTCAGAAAAGATCTTTCAAAAGATCAAATAGTCATAGAACTGCAAAGGTAAGGGGAATTTTCCTAATTCTCTTTCTCTACTTCCTCTGAAAGATAAAGAACTTGAAATTCTTTTTAATTTAATGTATATGAAATGCTAACACTGTGCCAAACACTTCATCAACCATTATCTTAATTAAATCTTCAGGATAACTCAGTAAGATAAGTTCTGAGGCAGCCACCATCACAATCCCGATTTAACAAATGAAACCCTGGAAAATAAAAACTCGCTCAAGATCCCGGGGAAGTAAATTGAGAAACAGGGTTTACATGTGATTCAGAGCCTAAAATTCTGATCCTGTAGAGTGACAGTAATGCAAAAAGTAAAGGATTAACAAATAAATCCTCATAAAATTACCAATTAGGTGATCAGTGAATACTTCTTTTAAAAGATGGGAAAATTGCTCCTGGGCTACACTGTCACCAAAAAAAAAAAAACAATTTCAGCAGGCATTCCAGACTGGAATCCACACATCTATTGAAGCAGAAAGACCACTGGGACAGCATAAAATAGGAAGAAAGAAACGGCAGAGAGAAAAGATGAAAACACAGACAAGGTCAGACTGCAAAGGAATTTAGACTTTATATAGACAATGTAAATCCCCAGGAAGTTTTTTTAAGAGACAAAATCCTTAAAAATATGAACTGAAGTTTAGAATACAAATTTGAGTGTCCTGATGGAGTTCAGGGCAGCACAGCCTGGAGTGGAGGAGAGCCAGCAGAAAGGCATAACTGTTCCTTTATCCCTCACCACGTGTGCGGCTCACATCCTTCCCCAGCACCACTAGGCAGCTCGGTGTCTGTTTTATGTTCCTCGTACCCCAACATCCTACTTGAAATGACATTGTGGTCAGATGACAGGGACCTGAACTTGAGCAAGTCAAGAACACAAGTTTGAGGACATCTGCAAGGATCTGGTGACGATATAGGGAGATGAAACCTACTAGATATCCAGTAAGAGTTTGTGTTTTCTAAAATGGAAGAATGAATTTTAGGAACACAGAGGTTAGGAACAGAATATATTTACTGAGAGAAAGCAAGCTTCTGTCTGAGAGACATAAAGGGTCTTGACTAGATTGCCATCTTTTCTAGGGATTTTATAGAGCAAAACCATGACATGAGGTGGTGCTAAAGTGGGAATTCACAAGATGGGTGTAAGGTGGGGGCAGAACTATGGTCAACCAATAAAATTAACTGCTCAGGTGAAATTGATTAAATGAGGGACAAATGGAGAAGTGAGCCATGTAGCAAGTGGGCATACATACAGAACTCTGTAGGGGATTAGGATGGTGACTCCTGGCTTCCTCAGAGTGACAGAGACCTACTTAGAATATCAATCCTTAGAATGTGGGTATATTTGCTTGATCTTTTGTCTTGAGATCTGGCCTACAGCTGATGGTGTCTCTCCTCTAGGGTTTCAAGGCATCTGGCCTTCTGCTCCTTTGAGGGCCTAGCTCTGTCTGACAGCCAATAATACTTCTAACTCAGTTGCCTGTAACAGTCATGGCTCAAAAGTGGAGAAGAGTGGTAAGAAACAATCAAAAAAGACTCCAGTGTTTCAAACTTAGGAGAAAGAGGAGTTACATGTGTTATAGCAAAGAAGAGACGGACAACAATAGCACAGAGGTGGAAGGCATGGCTTTGTCAAGGTCTCAATCCAGTAAGTACTTTATAGGCAACTGCAGTGTGCCAGACATTAGGGAAATGATGAATAAGATCAATTTTTGACTCAAGTATTGCCCTAGTGTAGTGATCTTTTAGAGTTTTCAGTGATACAAACGGTCCGCTTTGCGTGATAGGTTTGACATCATTGTTAAGGGAAGGGAAAGACGAAAGGAAGGTGGCCAGATACCAGGCCTCCTAAGACTGCGACTCCTTTTGTCCCAGTCTTAATCCAACAAGCAATGTAAAAAAAAGTACATAAGAAAGAGATTACATTTTAAAAAACCGAAAACGTCTTTAAATTCCATCTACCTCATCTTCTAAATTATACTGCAGCGAAAGAAGTGTGGCACAAGTACTTGCTGTTCCTCTGGCAAACTTCTTCCCTCACCATTCAAGGAGCTGATCCTTTCTTATCATTTAGGTCTCAAGACAAAAGTCAAAGCGCACACAGCCCCTTTCATCTCGAGCATCCTTCTCAACCCATGACTCTTTATTTCTTCACTGCCTTAATACCTGAAATCTATTTATACATGCATTGATATTCTAGCAGAAGAGAGCTTCTCAGAAGTAGGAAGTTATCTGGCTAGTTGCTGGCAGTCGCACAGTATGCCTTTGGGGAGGAAACATTTACTTGAGTGCAGTAAATGGGGAAGGTATTAAACCGCATCACGAAAAAGACCTCAAACCAACGAGGTTTCCTGTGACATACTGAGAACTGAGAACTGAAGTGAGTTTGAAGAGCAAAGTCATTTTCAAGGCAAGCGTTTGAATCAAAATCCAGGGGCTCACACCAGATCAGTGTATGGACAGTTTTGCATAAATTACAGGAGTACCTACCTAGTATGAGATATTTGACAATGAGGCCAGCCAGCTGCCAGCTCAGGTTTTATTTCCGTTGTCCTGACGTCAGAAAAAGCACGAGTTGCCGCACAGTTTTTTTTCTATCAAGGTGACAAATTACAGCCCCGCTCGGCCCTGCATTCTGCAAACACTCTCCCCTCCACCTTATATTAAAAAAATGTAATAACCATAGCAGGGATTTCAAGACCCCTTCCAAATGCATTCTGTTTTCTAACTGCGTACATCACCATAGGTTAGTCCGAAAAAGTATTTGAACCCAGCAGCACTTTAGTTTCCGCCAGAGAAACAGGCTGGTGAAAACCCTGGGTCGGCGCTGCAGAGCGAGACACAAAGGACTCGAATTGTAGCAGCCGGTGAAAGGCACTGGGGACGGCGTGAAGCGGTTACCCCGAAATTCCTTTTGCTGCCAGAAGCACTTTGCCTTCCGTGACTAGTTTGGTAGGGACGCGGGACGAGCAACCCGGCAAGTTAAAGGCTCCCAGGAAGCCCGGTGACCTGCAAGGTTCCAGGGGGCGCAGAGGAACCCGATGCTCGCAGTGGGGGGGGGGGGGGGGCGGTTATTAGGAGGCGAGGGCCGGCCGCACACAAGATCACGGAGCATTCCCCTCGAGGAGGAGCCGCATCGGCGAGTTTAAAAGCCTTTTGTGGCAACGTTTAAGAGCGTGAGCGAGTGAGATGCCTGGTATGGAGTCGAGGGAGTAGTGAGACTGGAGGGGAGCGCGATCCACGCCTGCAAGCAGCGGCCTTTTGTTCACCGACTCCCGCAGATCCAGCTCTCGGCAAAGCTCTTTGGCCCTGACTTCATTTTAGAAGGCAGCTCTTCAAGGCGGGAATGCACAGTCACCGCCAGCATCCTTTAGTGACCCCCTCCCCCGCATCCTCCTAGTCCCCTGGTTACCGAGAGAGGGGCGCCGCGGAAGTAGGGGCCAAGAGTGCTCTGGTTTACTAGCGTTCCCCCACGCGGCCCGCCGACCTCCGGCAGTCCCGAGACACCCCGGCCAAGCGCGGCAGCCGGGGACACTACGAGCCCCGCTCCCGGGCCCTGTTCACTCCGGAAAGTCCCCCACGTGGAGGCCTGGGCACTCCTCGGGTACGCGGCCACATGTCCTCCAGACCTGCGTGGTCCCCGACCCTCGTGAAATGTAACCAGGTCTGGTGCCACACTTTGGCACTGTGAAAACCGATTTTTTAAAAAAGTAAGCCACAGCCCACTCATAGGTGCAACCTGGGTCCCTCGCGCCTCCTCGCGCCGCGGGGTGCGCTCGGGAACAGAGGACCGGGACTTTTCCTTTCCGAAAAGCAGTATCCCAGGGCATCCGGCGCAGCCGCGCCGCCCTCCTTCCACGCCGCCGCATTCCCGCCTCTCCGCACCGCTACAACCTCCCGTCTCTCCCCGCCGCGGAGAAATCGCCTTACCTCGGGAAAGAAAGGGAAAGGTGGCACAAGACCGCAAAGTGTCTGCCCTGCGGGACGTTGCCCCGGCAGTTTGCCGTCCTTTGTGTCAAGGTCTGAAAGGCTCAGCCGGGAAGAGGTGGCCCCCGTCAGCGGGGAATGGGCGGGGAGGCTCGGCGTGGTGCGGCGGCTTTCTGAGGAAGGTGAAGGGCGGAGGTTCCCGGCGACCTTCAGGCGGTGTGGCGTGGCCGCCTCGGCTGTCTTCCTTTCCAGGCCGATTGCATCATCAGAATCTCCCCCCAACACCGACACCCGCCCACACTCGGCTCGCCGGCCTCGCGCTTACATCGGCACGCGCGGGCCCTGCGGGTCGCCGAGGGTAGTCATTTCCTCCTGGGGGCGCGTCGGCCCTCCGCACCCATGGCTCGCGAAGGCGTCGCCGGGAAAGTCAGGCCATTCCTCCCGTCCCGCCCGCAGTTTAACCAGAGCTGCGTGTCTGTGAGCCGTGCCCATCACATGGTGTCTCCGCTAGCGGCCGCGCCTTGCAGCCTCCCTCTCCCGGCTCTCTGACGATGCATCGACTGCGGCTGGCGGAGACTGAGCGTCGGGGAAGGGGCGAGGGAGGGGCTGCGGGGAGCGCGTGTGCCTGCGCGCCGAGCCCCGCACCAGACCCGAGGCCGCGCGCCACCCGGGCACCTGCCTGACGCCCTCCCGAGGCCGGGCAGCGAACTCCAAACTCAGCTGCGGCAGCGGCTGGAGGATGGGGAGTCGTGGGGAGAGGTGAAGCGGCGCAGCAGCTAGCCGAGCATCGGCTGAGGACAGGAGTGTTGGGCACTTGAAGTGAGGGGCTGCATTTTGGGGTGCTTCGGCGTACAGTCAGGGCCGCAGGAGCCAGGGGAGTTGCATTATGGGAAGGGCGCAGCGTGAGGATGGCCGCGGGAGCGGCTGGTCAGAGCTCCCCACTGGCCGCTGGCGGCGCCTGGAGGTGCGAGCGCGCTGGCGCAAAGCATCGGCGCCGGGGACCGAGCTCCAGCGGCCGGAATGGCGGGAAGGGCACAGAAGCGGCGGGGGAAGCCTGGGCGCGCGGACACCTTTGGAATCCTTTGTCCCCAACGCTCAGCGGGAGGCGCCTCCCCTCTTCCGGACCCAGCACCCGCCAAACTCGTCATCCCTCCCCGAGATCCGGAATGTGGAGCTGTGTTGGGGCCTGGGTGTGATGTGAGCCAAGGGACTCACTGAGCCCCGAGCGCGCACCTGTCTAGGCGCGAAGAGGCCGGGCGTGGAGACCCCATGCTTTTCAGCCCCAGGGCCTGCGGCGTGCCGGGGCCTCGCGAGTCCGGACTGAGAGAGTTGGAGGGTGAGGGAGCTGGGTGAGGGGGCGGGGGCCGCTGAACCCGCTTCCCTTTCTTCTGCCGCCTCTTTGTTTCAGGCACAGCCCCTTTTAACTGGGCACTTCCTTGCGCGGGACTTGTGTCTCCTTAAAATGGCGACAGGAAATCTCTCACCTGCGCGCCAGTTTGTGCAGAGCAAATTTGCAGGGTGGAAACGGAACCTTTTATTGACAGGGATAGTTCCCTCGTGTGTTTAATGAGAACAGGAAAGGGAAGGCGAATCATGATCCATAAATTCACCTGCCTGGAGTCTTTCCAGCGGGCAGACCGAGGAGTCACTGTATTGCAGTGGTTGTTTCACGTGGCTCACCGCTGGAGACCAAGAGCTAGAACAACCCAGCGTGAAGCTCCTCCTCGTTATTGACTAACACTGTTACTCCCTTCGAAGAGAAGTGAAGGCCCTGGTTAGGTCAACTATGGCTTCCCGAGAACCCTGTTTAGGAGGCGAGTTCTAGATAAGCCCGAGAAACGGGAAGGTCAATTCAAACAAAAGGGAAAGATAGGCAGCCTCGCTCGGCCGATCTGCACGCAGTTTTATTTCAGATGCATATTGCTTCCCTCTGCTGCTTTTGTTTTTGTTTTTTTTTTTTTTAATCCTGATTCTTTCTAGTTTGAAAAAAGAAGAAGAAAGAAAAGGAGAGATGATTAATAGTAGACACATCACAGTAATATTCTGGAGGTCATCTTGTTCTGCCTTGTTTCCTAGAGAAAGTTAATTTAGTGTGAAATTACTGAGGTTAAGTATTAAGTAATGGGCACTTTGCTGGCACAAATAATTCTTATGAATTGGGTAAGAAATTGAGTAGGTAAAGAGGTAAATCGTGAGCCATAGATCAATAAATCAGTTAAAAAGTTTATCTTTTTAAAGGATATATATATATATATTTATCAGGGTTTAAGAGAATCTGATCTCAAGCATATCTTTCAATTTCAACTTACTTGCTAGTTCATAGTACACCAAAGCATGCAGTTACCTAGCACTTTTTGAATTGGATTAAAGTTATGAATTGAAGCCTTACTGTTTGCCAGCTACTACTCTAAGAACTGTCCAGATAAATATTTTCGCATTTAATCCTTTTCACCTTCAGTTAGGTATTACCTCCATATAAAAAAGAAGAGTGTTCAAAGAGACTTAATTGGCTCCATTTACATCAGACAGCAAGTAGTGAAGGGGAAAGCCATTCCTTTTTGGGGTCTCAGTCAAGTGCTTCAAACCAATTTGCAATCAGATAAAGATCTTCACCCCTCTGGGTTTTAGTTGACAACTTGGAAGTAGAGAAAACTTCAGGATTCTGGAGCTAAAGGATGATTGCTGTGCGAGGATTGGGGTGGGAGGGAAGAGGAGTGTAGTGCAGTAGTGGTGGGTTACATCAGTGTGTTTTTCCAGGACTGCCTGCTAATGCAGATTCCTTAAGGAGGTCTTTTCAGTATCTCAGTTCCTAAACCTTATTACTGTGCTTTCAGTGGAGTACAAAGGATATCATGAAGGTGGTTCCCCTAGTTACTATGTACTAAGACAAGCAGTAAGTGAAACATTTTAAAATTGTCTGCTGTGTAATGCTTCCAGCATGGCTTAACAGGACATGCCATCCTAATCTCTAATCCAGAGATTTAAAGAATTTATCCCAAGTCCAGACTATAACTGACACATTTTAAGTCTTGAACCCAGAGCCTACTCAAAAGCCAGTACTGTAGATCTGCTATACTGTGTTCCTTGACTTTGCAATGGTCCTCTTCGGAGGACCAGCCAGTGAGTGGGTCCCAGGCCACCGTATCTTCAGATAGGAACCACTACTTCGAGGTCTGGGGAGTTAGTTTTCCATCTGTTAACTAGATTTTCATGATCTGAGGCTGTTATTGCTAGTATTGAATGTTACCTGTAGACCTTGCCTAAGTGAGCCATCTTCCCAAAATGATACTAAAGGAGTTTGGGCTGCCCCACAGTTTTAAGAAAACAAAATTTCTGCATCCTCTCTCAAGTGAACCTAGGATAAGAATCTGTGCTGTACAAGAATTGAGTGACTTCAGTTGGGAGTTTTTTAGTAGCTTCATGGCTTTTTGCTATAGTTCCAGAAAGGAGGGGCCGCTTTGTGAAGAAAGATCAGTAGAACTCCAAAGAGGGCTGGACCTGAACTTAAGCCACATTTGCTCTCATACCAACCTCTTGCTGTGTCCAGCTGGGTCACACTTGATCCACATCTGGATTGCCCAATAGGACAGCTGCAGAAGGGGCTGCCACCAGCTGCTTACAGAAAACAAGTGCCTTCTTCCACCAGTTTTTAGAGCCTTCCAACTACATCTGGTCTGATACTAGCAAATGTCTTGTGTACAGATTTTGAGTAATATAAAGTCAAAACTATTTCTTAAATGTAGTTTTTCTTTTTAACTGTAAAGGACTGTTGGGACAATCTGAATTTTAGCAATGATTTAAAAATAGGGATGTAGGGGCTGGGGATTTAGCTCAGCGGCATAAGTGCCTGCCTTACAAGTGTGCGGTTGTGAGTTCAATCCCTGGTACTGATAAAAAAGAAAAAGACAAAAAAAAAAAAAAAAAAAAAAAAGGGGGATGTAGGGCCAGGGATTTAGCTCAGCAGCATAAGTGCATGCTTGGCAAGTATGAGGTTGTGAATTCAATTCCCAGTACCAAATAAATAAATAAAATAATAGGTATGTAAAATGGAAACAAAGCTTTTGTAAATAAGGTGGGAAAGAAGGGTTAGAAGAAGGGCAGGGAAATAGGGGGGGAAAACCCAAGTTATATCATGTGCAGGTACAAATCCCCTATAGTGAAAGTGATCATTATGTATAGCTAAAATGTATCAATAAGCTTAATTAATAAAAGCAAATAAATATAAATAAGGATGTCAAAAGGTAAGGTTATTTCAGAATAATGGACATTTCCTTCATATAACACACATGTGTCCACTATCAGATACACAAATTCTACCTATATGAAAAGTTATTTATTCTGAAATCAGTCTTTTTATTCCTGATTGTAGGATCTATAATGGTATTTAAAATTACTGGTTTTTCTTGACTGATGGAATCATACCCCTTTACCTGATTAACCCTGATTAACCTTTTTACCAGCCTTGTTCTTTGGATCTTATCCATACATGACAATATTTTAACACTGGAAGTTAGAGAAGCAGCCACAGCCAAAAGCAAATTAGTGAAAGGAACTCCCAGCCATCTCAGCTATTTGTTCTGCAGATACCTGACACTGTGTGGCCTAAACCTCTTTGCAGGTAACACTTCTTCCAGCATGGTGATAAATATTGCACCTTTCCAGATTTGTCATTAATTAGCTCTAGCAGGAGGTCACTAATACACACTTGAGTCCAAAATGAATTTAAATTATAAGCTTAGAGTGAGCTTCTTTTAAAAATGTCTGTTGTCTCTGGTTTTGGCCTAAGTCAGCTTTGTAAAGTCACTTATTTTCTAAATCTATTAGAGGAGCTGAAGTTCATTAGGTATTACAGCTGTATGGTAATACAATCTAATTCATTTGAGTTACTTAAAGAACCAGGGCCAAGCGGCTGGGGATTTAGCTCAGTGGCTCAAGCTTGCCTGGCAAGCTCCAGATCATGAGTTCAATCCCTGGTACCAAAAAAAAAAAAAACAAACAAAAAACGAACCGGCCAAGTGCTGAGTCTGGTAGTGTAATGTCTGCCTTGCCTGGCACTTCTGCACCGTTATGCAGGTACACTGTGAGTCAATTCTCCACCTCGCTGCAAAACGGGGGTGTGATACCCATCTGGTGATTGAATAACTCAAAGTCTACAAAACACCCAAGCAGGTTGCTTGCTACATGGAAAGTGCCTACCAAGTGGTCCTTATCATTATTTGCACACTTTGCAGAAACAAGCTTGAAACAAGCAGAAACAATGAATTTTCAAAGCCTACATTTATCGGCACAAAGTATTCTATCATGTTTACTCCACACCCAAAAAGCTGTTAAGCCTACATCTCAGTTGTAATTCATCCCATTGTAGAAATGGAAGAGAGAAGGAAATAAATAATAGGTCCTATTTCAATTAATTTCAAGGTGGAAAAGCATGTGTGGGGTATATCTAAGAGTTTGTTAATTAGAAAGTAAGTGTCCCTAAATTAAGTATAGCATCTATATTGACTAATGGTGTGTGTATAAATTGATAAAACTTTCTGTGAGGTAGCACATTTAGTGAATGTGGGCTCTGTGGACAGATTTCTCAAGTTCTGATCTCTTTTAGGGGCTGGGAGATCTTGGAATGAGATTCAGGAGTTCTTTACCTTTACTATCGAGCTGCATCTCTATCCCTTTTTATTTTGAGACAGAGTCTCACCAAAATACACAGCCTTCAAACTTGTAATTTTCTTGCCTCAGCCTCCCAAGTAGCTCTACTGTCATGCACCGCTATACCTGGGCCAACTTTTAATTTTGATTCCACAGTGTACTAACTCTGCGATCTTGGGCAAGTCACTGAATTTCTCTATTTCTAGGTTTCATCACTTACAATGGGGATAATAATGCCTACCTTACAGTATGATATGAAATATGTGTACTAATACATAGAATTCATTTAAAATAGTTTATAATGTATCTTAACTACTTCGTAAATATTATTAGAAAATAGTCTGGTAAGAAGTGAAAAGAACCTAGATACTATAGGTGTCACTTCTGGGGATCTGGACCCTAGAAATGATGCTCAGATATTTTCCTCTGTGGCAGCAAAGCTAAGGGGCAGGGTTTGGAATGAGGCTAACACAGGAAAATGGCTTGCTTCCTTGATTGCTTGCTTGCTTTTCTTCCTTCTTTCTTTCATTTGTTTGTTTTGATAGTACAGTGGTACTCCAGTTCATGAACTTAATTGTTGACATGATTCTGATCACAAACCAAATCGGATGAAAATGGAATCAATTTCAGTAGTCAAGTTCATTGTTGACATTATGGGGAAATTTTGATTTTGTTCTCATCTGATTTAGTTTGCAACCAGAATAGTGGAAAGAATTGAGTTCAGGAACCAAGATATCATTATCCTGGGAATTAAATCTAGGGCATTTGCATCGAGCTATATCTCTATCCTGCCCTTCTCCTTTTAAATTTTTTAAGATAGTGTCTGGCTAAATTGTCCTGGCCAAGATCAAACTTGTGATCTTCCTGCCTCAGGCTTCCAGAGAACCAGTACTACAGGCATGGGCCACTCCATTCAAAAGCATATTTAAAACATTTGTTACAGTTTTTTGTTTGTTTTTGAGACAAGGTCTTGCTATGCAGTCCAGGCTGCCTTTGAACTCATTGTGTAGCCCAGACTGGCCTCAAACTCAGGGCAATCCTCTTGCCTCCACCTTTAAATGCTAGGATTAAACATGTATACTACAGCATGTTTATTGAAACTAAGGATAGCAAATTTATAAATACAAATCCAATTAAATACAACAGGATTGAGAGCGCTCTGAACCATCTGTAAGCCTTTAGAGGTGCTTTGAGAAGCAAGATACAGGACTGACTCTTCCATAGTTCTAATCCAGTGTGATCTCTTTCTTTCTTATCAGATTGAGCATTGAAAAGGAACATAGCTGGAGGAAGAATCTTCATCCAAGACCAGAGAGATGAAAATGATCACAGGAAGTGATGGAAGGCATCAAGGAAGGTCAACATATAGATAGGAAAACTAGGGGAAAAAAAGATAAGATCAAAAGCCAAGAATAGCTGAAGTAAGTCATAATTGCACAGCACTGGCTCTTAGGGCTGGCGTGGGGTAGGTCTTTTCAGGGTGTTAAAAGTGTGCTCTCACTGGGTGCTACTAGATGTTAAAAATCTCACTGGGCAAAGATAGTTTTCATATTGCTTTCCAGCAGATAATCTGGATTTGTTTGTCTTCTCACTACTGACAGTATTTAAGATGAAAAAGACCTATTTATAACAAGTAGAATACCGTGCTTTACCAAAATAAGTTTCTGTTTTAAATAATTGTTCTTAGGAAAAAATGCCAAATAACTCTCACTGTGCTTGATTTTTATATTTGAGGCATATGAAGCTATTCTAAAATCATAAAGGATAATTTTTACAAGAGATTTAAAATTGGTAGTCTTCTGTTGATCTCTATTTATAGTTATTTATTCATACATGCTTATGTGCTCCTAAAATAAAATGTTCAAAGTTTTTTAGTCAAACGTAGTTTGTCCAAAACTGAACTCATTGTTCTCTCTCCCAGCCTAAACCCTCTTGGGAAATGGCACCACATGAGTGACTGCTCAAGCTAGAAATATGGGTGTCTTGGCTCGGCTCCTTTGCTCTCCACGTGTAATTAATTCACTCTTTCAACTAACATTTACTAAGTGCCAGGCATTCTGCTAGTCTTCCAGGGAACTTGGAGTTAAGAATGTAAGATTGGCATTTCCCAGATGATCTCGCCAGTAGAATGTACAAGATACAGATGGAGAGAAAGTTCGGAGGAGAAAAGGGACCTGATTCTGGGGGAGCTGCAGAGGATCACAGGCTGCCCTGGAATGTAGCCCTCAGTTGGACTCTGGTTTCTCTACACAAAGGGTTTCAATAAAGAGCAAGTGATGGACATGATCCAGAGTGTGTTTCCAAAAGGAATGCAGGTACCGCCGATTCTGTCTGTCCACCTGTTCTCTGGCATCCATTCCCTTTCCTCCATCCCCAAGCCCATTGTTTGCTGTGAGCCTCTGTCAGCTTACACTGGGGCAAGTGTTGATAATGCACCTCACTATTAAAAGCATCTTGACTCTGCCTGCCCAACATAATCTGCACATGTTGTGAATCATATAAATGGAAACTATTATTACATACATGAAAAGCAGTCTCAAAAAATTTTAAAATTCAAATAGGACTTTACATTTTAGATTTAATTATTAACAGTATTTTATTCTGTTACTAAAACATTTCTAATTATTAAAATCAACATTTTGGTGAAGCAAATTTGATTTGATATACCTTATTATTTATTATGTATTATTATTTTTAAAGCACTTACATTTTGCAAAACACCATTTCATAAACCTGAAATTTGGTTTATGTACATGTTTGGATGTCACGGCTCACAGAGACATATAGACTGATTAGCTGCCATGCCCCTCTGGGCTGCAGTCCCAAGCCAGGTCACCCATTGCTGTATTGCATCCACTAATTTACAAAGCTTCAAGCCAACAAATGTACACTTAGAAGGGGGTCATCATTAGTGATGAGGGAAGTGAATTCACCCACGAATCTTTCATAATCCTGAATCTGACAGACTTCTCATCATATCAGAGAAGATGGTCATTGCCTTACCTTAAAATTGTGATCAACCATAGGAGCTCTCAGTAGGAGTGGAAGTGTCCGCTCTGCCTTTCCTGCTTCTGTGTGCTTCCATTATTATTTTTTATTTTCACAGTGCTGGAATTAGAACCAAGGGCCTCAAACATTCTAGAAACATCCTTCACCATGGAGACACACCCTTAACTCTCTTATGGATTTAATCTGAAGTTTATTCAGGGTAACTTTCTAATTGTCCATTCTGGGAGGACAAGTTAAACTATATATATCAGACAATATAAGTTCGTTCAACTAAGCACATGGACACTGAAGGACATTTAAATAAAAAGTAGAAGGGCATAAATCAACAAAAGTATTATGGTCCTTATTGCTGTACTGCTGCCCTGAGATACCTTGAGGACCAAGAATAACCATGGGTAAGAAGGCACGTTGCAGCTGGACTTCCATAGTAGCTGCTCCTGGAAATAGAGTATAAGGGAAACAAGAGAGTCTTCACTAGAGCCCAGTAATCACACACCATGTGCATCTTTTCTCAGAGCTGTGTCCTCAACTTCCTAATTGGATCAGTCAGGCTGCTGTGATGACTCCTTCCCCCGGTGCCACCGTGAGAGACAGGCAGGACCCAGGCACTGCTACTCTGTGAGTAGAATGGTTGTTGGGGTCACGAACTGTTGCTCCCTGTGGCTTAGTCATTGTTGTACATTTTGGAGTGTTTGTAAAAAAAAAAAAAAAAAAAAAACAACAACAACAACAACAAAAAGCCTCCACAAGGAGAGGAATTGTTCTGGTGGTTCCCCTATCTCGACCCATGCAGAGCCCTGCAACCATTCTGACCTCTTTAGTCACCCCCCAACCTCCTCCAAGCCAAAGTGTGACCTAGCTTTTGTCTTCCCATTTAATTTTCCTCCTTTTGTATCCCTTTTTAAATGCTTAATTTATTAAAATAGTTGGTCTGTAGTTTATTTTTATAAAGTACAAAAGTGATTAAATGGGCAATGTTAAATAGGGTAGGAGGGTGGGATAAGGGAAGATGTTTTGATATAAATAAAATAAATGCACTTTGGGTGTATTTTGGGATTTTTCTGGGGTGGAGGAGGTAGCTGTTGGGATGTCCTGTATGTTAGTTCCAGAATGGGGCCTCTGTATCTACTGTATTAAAAGATATATTTACCTTCAGCAAAGGGACAGTAGTAGGTACTACGGGTCCTGTTTGAAAAGCCCATGTACAATTCCTGATTTTTCATGTCCGTGCAGGAGATATTTGATTTTTATGTTTGTGTCTCCTATTTATGATGGCTGTACTAAATCATGTCTTTTTGGAGATGGTTAAAGAGATTTGAAATCAAAATGTTTATACATTTTGAAAAAAGTGAGAGGGATATCTTCAGTGCTGTGATAGGAGTCATCTTGTCATGAAGCTGAGGGAGGGTCACTTTCAAGCTCTTAATATGAATAGAGATGCTAACATTTTTTTTTCCTGAAATCCATTTATGATCCTCTCTTGGTGTTCCATGAGAGCCTTTTAAATGGACTCCTTCTGCCTACCTTTGACAGCTTTAATCCTTCCACTATGCATTAGCAGTTACTGCCTTGGAAAGCTATTTTTGAAACCAAACTTATGTGTTTACCGATCAAAAATTATTTAGACAGAGACTATTTTCTCCATTAGGTTACAAGGTGCACTACCATTTTCTTTCTTTTTTCCCTTCCATGTTAACAAATGTTTAATAGCATCCTAAACGCCATTTTCTTAAGCATCTGCCACACAGCAGAAGCTCAATAATAACTGTTGAAAGAGTAGATATAATGAGTTGAATATTTAATTTGTACTTTAGTTCTTTCAAAGGACAAAGAATAAGAAAAATGTGTAGATGATCAAATTTACATTTAGTTAAGTTCTTAAAGTTTAGTAACCTATATACATAAATCAAATGAATAGCTAATTTTGGAACTGTAACTAGTTTTGGAATCTTGTGTGAATAAATTATAATTTTAAAACATCAAGAGAAAGAGCCTATGGAATGTCATTTGTAAAAAGAAAAACAAGAAATTCAGGCTGTATTTAAAATGAAATATGTTTAACAGTTTTCTAGTCTATGCAAATTACTTGGAAAATCCAGAACCTCAACCACCTAAAAATTGACCTTCTTTCTTAGCAAATGTGGTTTTTGCTTCCAGAATTACCTGGTAATGTGCCAGCATTCTCCAAGTCATATTGTCAGTATGAAACGAGCATTTGTAAATGGAGTCTAATTAAATGTTATGCTTTAAAAGAAGAGTTACAAGTTAATTTGTTCTGCTATTTCTGCTGGATCTTCTTATAAAAAATAGGATAGGTATAATCCTGCAGTTCATATACAAGTCACTTAGCAATATTAATTTAATAATGAGCTCAACAATTCTGCCCCTTTTTCAAAACTGTTACTTTAATGGAAAGAAAGAAATTCACTGATACTTCCTTTTCAGTGTTGCAAAGAAAGAGAATGACAGAAAACTATCTCAGCCCTATTCATTCATTCATTCATTCATGCATTTGCTATGTTCTAAGTTCATTCCTTTTGCAGCATACTTTGATTTGTATCTTTTCAGGAAACTTGTCCTGCATTAACTTATTTACTTCTGTATTTTTATTCTCTTTGCAACTGATGGTAAAATGTTCAAAATTCTTTCATCATTAAAAGAGAAAGGAGGAGGAGAGGAGAACAGAGAGAGCCGAGAAAAAGAGAAGACATTTCCTATGATTTTACATCTTCTAGTTATAGCTGCTATCTTTCTTCTACTAAGAATCAAGATTTTCCTCAGAATAGCTAATAATTACTTTACCTCCCATTCATTCTTTAAACACACACATATTTGAAAAATTAATTTTTTCTCTTTGTAGAAAACTTGAAATGTCATAATATGTGAGAAAAAAATTTAAAAAGGCCTATTCATAAATTTATGCATAACTATTATTGTCATTTATTTATTTTGTATATGATTATTCCTTTTGACAATTCAGAATCATGTCCAGTTGAATATGTGCATTTGGCATGAAATTATGATAATTTTACTATCATTAAAAATCCTTCATAAAGAAATTTTAGCTGAGCATGGTTTCACACACTTATTAACCCAGCTATTTGAGAGGCTGAGCAGGAGAATTGCAAGTTGAGTCCAATCTAGGCAACTTAGGGAAGTACGTCTCAGAACTGTTTAAAAAGGGAGGTGGTGGCTGGGGATTTAGCTCAGTGACATAAGCCCTGCCTGGCAAATGCGAGGCTGTAAGTTTGATCCCTGGTACCAAAAAATAAAAAATAAAAATGGAAAGGGAGGGGGGAATGCGGCAAGGGGACGTGGCTCAGTGGTAGACCAGTTGCCTAGCACATATGAACCCTGGAGTTTAATTTGAAATACTGGGAAAAAAAAGTTTAAAAGTTTTTATTTTAATGAAGTATTGAGTTTTTTTCCTTAGGCCTACAAATTTATTTCTCATACAGAGATAATATTTATTAGAATTTGACTTTTGTTCTTATGGTTTAGATTTTTCCTTTCCATTTACTTCTTAAACCCATTTTAAGAGAATAGAGAATCTAAATTCATTTTCCTCAAATCACTAACCAATTATTCTAGTACTAGTTGTAGTAATTCCTTCCGTTTTCTCCTCAGTGTTTTTTTCCTCAGTTGTGCTTCCTTTACAAGATGTTATTAGTTTAAAAAACAATAATGATTCAGTTCTGCTCTGGATCCAGCTATTCTTCCACTGGCCTATTATTTTATTACCCACACTAATTTATTTATTAGACCTCTGCCATATGTTTGTATCAAGGAAGACACAAGGCTTTTCATAATTTTCTTAGCTGTTTATTATTTCAGATGGGTTTTAGAATCATTACTAAACTAATAAGACAAAAAGGCACAGGAATGGGCCTTTTATTTGCCTATAAATCAATTTAAACACACACACACAAAACATTTACAACAAAAACACATAAAACAACTAGAAATTCCCCTACACAAATATAGTACAAAACTTTATTAGTGTACAAATAAAGATGTGAATACACTTAAAAATATACTGAGCAGTCTAAACATGCCAATTTTCACTGAATTAATGTATAGAAAGGTAACTGCATAAAATCTTATTTGTTTTAAATAAAAAATGAATTGTGATAACCATGCACAAATATGACAGTCATTTTTAGGTGAATTATATTTCTACATTGGGCAAGCATAAATACAAACTATGTATATTTTTAATTCTCTTTAACAATGTTTAGATAAAAATAAATGACACACCTTGTCTTTGCGTATAGCAAAGGAGTGAAACATATCTCACTCCATATAGGAGTGAAACAAATGTGGGTATAATTTACGACAAATGTGTGAAAATCAATCTATTAGATTGTCTGTTCTCTGAGAAGTAAATTCTGAGGACAGAGTTTGTAAGCAGAGCCTGTCAGAGAGTGTTCTTGGGATCCACGCTTGAGGAAAGGAAGAAAAAAAGCAGGACAGGGGAAGAGGAAGAAGCCAGGGTGGGGGACAGGCTGTGTCACTGAGGCCTCAGCAGACCCAAAGGGAACTCTGACTGGGACAGCTCCTCAGAGTGAGGGTGCGGGCCATTACCTCACTCCGTGTCTCCCAGTGATGACACACAGGTTACCACATGTGACCTTGGGCAGAGCAGCTTATTTCTGCTGAGGTGCTTTTGTAAGAGGGCAGGTGAATGATACCCTGTTGCCCTCTGTATCCCAGAGGCTGTCTCCAAGGGGCATGGGCAGAGTGGCACAGTGTCCACCATAGTATACACTTCTAGTTTCTTTATCATCAGTGTGTATTCCATAAGGATTTTTTTAAAACTGCATATAAATTATTGAGAGAATTGTTTCTAAAAAAAATGCACAGCCTAGCATATTTTTTGTTATAAAGAGATAAGAAATATAAAAGAAGGGGTCCTAGGGTTCTTATTCATGTAACTCTTGGGATTTAAAAATTGGTGTAGAAGACTTTTAATCTCATTTTGCTTTGCTTTCTGTTCCCTTTTTTAGTGAAACAGTATAACAATAAAAAGAAGATGGGGGCTGAGGTTGTAGTTTAGTAATATAGCACTTGTCTAGTATAGCATGCACAAAGCTCTGGGGGAAAGAGAGAGAGAGAGAGAGAGAGAGAGAGAAACAAGAGCAAGGGATGAAACTACATAATGCATTGAACAGAGGGCAGTCATTGGTATTGGTAGTAATTATATCCATATTAAGAAAAATAGCTGCTGTCCCTCTTCATGCAGCAGTTGGGGTAAAGGGTGAAGCAGGTGGAGAGGAAGGGGCGATGGAGAAGACGAGGTACAGTCTTGCCTACCAGAGGAAGGTGCAGACAGAGACGCAAATACTCTAAACACCCTTTGTGACCATCTCTGAGTCATGGGCTTGCTTGGTGCTTTGTTTACCTCCACAGCCTTTGAGATAGAATTCAAACTCAGGACTGCCTGCCCTCAGTGCCTGGCTTCTACCACATAATATAAATATGAAAGAATGAGACAAAATGATGCAACAGAATAGAATAACTAGAATAACTCAGGGTGACTCGGTTTGTTTTTCCTGTGCATTTGGGATTGAACGTAGGCCCTTGCACAGGTGAGGAAAGTGCTCTACCATCAAGCCACA